CCAAATCTGAACTAATCATAGACGTCTAGAGTAGGTTTCACAAGTTTGAACATCACATTACAGTACAGCACAGTTTAGTACAGTAGAACACAGAAGAGTACAGTACTGTACAATACGGTACGGTATGGTACGGTACAGGACAGTCAAGTTTTATTCAGTAGAGCACAGTCTATTACAGTACAGTATGGTACAGTACAGTAGAATTTAATTAATTAGAGTAGAGTACAGTAAAGTAGAGTACAGTAAAGTACAGTACAGTACAGTAGAGTACAGTACTGTATAGCTTAATTCAGTAGAGTACAGTACAATACAGTACAGCAGAGTACACCACAGTACAGTAGGGTTTAATTCAGTAGAGTACAGTACAGTAGGGTTTAATTCAGTAGAGTACAGTACAGTAGAGTACAGTATAGTTTAATTCAGTAGAGTAGAGTACAGTACATTTTAGTTCAGTAGAGTACAGTACAGTACATTTTAGTTCAGTAGAGTGCAGTCCCGTGTAGCTCAGTTGGTAGAGCATGGCGCTTGCAACGCCAGGGTTGTGGGTTCGTTTCCCACGGGGGACCAGTATGAAAAAATGTATGCACTCACTAACAGTAAGTCGCTCTGGATAAGAGCGTCTGCTAAATGACTAAAATGTAAAATGTAAATGTAATGCATTAGAGTAAAGTAGGGTACAATACATTTTCTTTACTCTAGTGTACTGTACTATACTCTACTTTTCTTTACTGTACTGTGTACTGTAATGTACTGTACTTTGTTGTGTTCTATTCTACTGTACTGTGCTGTACTGTGCTGTTCAAACTTGTGAAACATAGATGTCCACGATTGGTTCAGATTTGGTCTGGACCGGATCAAAAATCAACGTCTGTGGACGTTGAAATCAAGGCCGGTTGGATCGCACAAAAAAAAAAGACAGAGGACCGCCCAAAAAACATCCAAAAGATGTTGCGTGACGTGAAGTGCTCAGTGGGCAGAGTCAAGAGGAAGAACAGGTCATAATAGCCTTGTTGGGTGTAATGGGGAGGCTTAGTTTGTCTAGCCATGTCATGACCCTGAGTCTGTTGAGATCCCTAGAGTCAGAGATGAGAGAGAATAAGGAGGAAGCGAAAGAGAAGCTGGGAGGAGAGGTGAGATGACAAACTGGATGGGGAAAAGTGGGACAAGCGGGCTGTGCATGTGTGTTTTCAGAGTTTGTGTGTGTGTCTGTGTCTGTGTGTGTGTGTGTGTCTGTGTCTGTGTCTGTGTCTGTGTGTGTGTGTGTGTGTGTGTGTGTGTGTGTGTGTGTGTGTGTGTGTGTGTGTCTGTGTCTGTGTCTGTGTGTGTGTCTGTGTCTGTGTCTGTGTGTCTGTGTCTGTGTCTGTGTCTGTGTGTGTGTGTGTGTGTCTGTGTGTGTGTGTGTGTGTGTGTGTGTGTGTGGACGTGTTTAACTATTCTTGTGGGGACCAATTGGGGACATTTTGTTGGTCCCTACAAGGTCAAATGCTATTTCTAGGGGGTTTAGGGTTAAGGTTAGAATTAGTGTAAGGGTTAGAATTAGGTTTAGGGTTAGGAGCTAGGGTTATTTTTAGGGTTAGGGTTAGGAGCTAGGGTTAGGGTTATGTTTTTGGGTTAGGGTTAGGGTAAGAGTACGTGTTAGGGTTAGGGTTAGGGTTAGGGGTTAGGGAAAATAGGATTTTGAATGGGACTGAATTGTGTGTCCTCACAAGGTTAGCTGTACAAGACTGTGTGTGTGAATGTGTGTGTGTGTTTTCACTGTGTGGGTGTGTTCTGTGTTTGTGTTTGCTTTTTCATAGCATGCGTGTTTTTAAGGCATGTATGCATTTTAACACGTGTGTGTTTGTGTGTGTGTGTGTGTGTGTGTGTGTGTGAGATGGTGGTGGTTACAAGCAAGCCCTTGCCTTCTTCCTAATTACACCACTCGCTTCTAGACGAGGAAGGAACGCAGGCACATTCCCTGTAATATATGCGCTCTCTCTTCTTTCTCACATTCCTTTCTTTCATTTTCTAGATCAATTTTTTTTCCTCTCGCCCCCTCTTTGTCACTTAGTCAGTCTTTCTCTCTCCCTTACTCTGCTCTCTCTTCACCTCTCTCTCAACCTCTCTCCATTCCCTCTCATTCCATCTCATCCTCTCTCTTTCACTTTACTTCTTTCTCTACTTCTCTCTCTCCCTCCTTTTCTCTCCAGGTGTGCCCTCCCCCTCCTTCTCCTGTGTAATCAGGAATAGGGTGGTCGCCCCTAGACGCTGACTTAAGGTCAACTTTGTATTATCCCCACTAATGGTTAAGGTTAGGATTGGGGGAGGGGAAGCTGATCCTAGATCTGTACCTAGGGGAGACTTCACCCCGGGAACATGTAATCACCAGACCCCTGTGGACTCCATCATTACCCAGGGGCCTCAGAGAGACTGATGTCTCTGCCCTGTCATTCTGTCCAGGGGACCCTTTAGAGAGGGACACACTGATTTCATCCTGGAGGGGACCGTTTAGTGAGGGGGACACAGATCTATACCACCCCACTCAATCAGTGTAATTATAGAGACAACCAACTATAAAGACAGAACTAACTCTGTCAACACTGACAGACAGGCGTGCCAACCAACACAGCGAGAAGACCATGGGAAATGAGGAGGTGATATATCATGAGACTGAGACATAAGGAAAGACATACAGAGAGACAAGATCGAGACAGACTGAACACTATATAGACTATGTATTTCTCATGTCGTCCTTTCAGAATACTGTGGCCGAATTCCATCCTAACCCCAAATGCACATTCACACTGGCATTAAAGTAGGCTGCATGGTTCTCATCGAAAATATTTTCAATCTAAATGTCAGAGAGGAGACTCTGAGCCCCGTGGAGACAGGCACCCTGCTTCCAACAGCGGGGAAGAAAACAGCTGTGGAGGCTGCCAATAAGCAATGTGAAAACTGGAGAAATTGTGTCTGCGGCTGCTGGCCTCACAGCGCAAACAGACAGTCATGGGACCACGAAGCATTTGGCCAGCTGGCTCAGGGAAAAACTTGGATGTGTGACGCACCGGGGAGAGATATGCTGTCTCGAGGTCGCTGCGAGGAGGGGCGCAGTAGGCTCGCACACAATATTTTTTACATTGACATTTTAGTCATTTAGCAGACACTCTTATCCAGAGTGCATACCATTTCATACTTTTTTTCCCCATACTGGTCCCTAACCCACAACCCTGGTGTTGCAAGTGCCATTCTCTACCAACTGAGCCACTCCATGTGCCATGCTCTACCAACTGAGCCACTCCAAGTGCCATGCTCTACCAACTGAGCCACTCCAAGTGCCATGCTCTACCAACTGAGCCACTCCAAGTGCCATGCTCTACCAACCGAGCCACTCCAAGTGCCATGCTCTACCAACTGAGCCACTCCAAGTGCCATGCTCTACCAACTGAGCCACTCCAAGTGCCATGCTCTACCAACTGAGCCACTCCAAGTGCCATGCTCTACCAACTGAGCCACTCCAAGTGCCATGCTCTACCAACTGAGCCACTCCATGTGCCATGCTCTACCAACTGAGCCACTCCAAGTGCCATGCTCTACCAACTGAGCCACTCCAAGTGCCATGCTCTACCAACTGAGCCACTCCAAGTGCCATGCTCTACCAACTGAGCCACTCCAAGTGCCATGCTCTACCAACTGAGCCACTCCAAGTGCCATGCTCTACCAACTGAGCCACTCCATGTGCCATGCTCTACCAACTGAGCCACTCCAAGTGCCATGCTCTACCAACTGAGCCACTCCATGTGCCATGCTCTACCAACTGAGCCACTCCAAGTGCCATGCTCTACCAACTGAGCCACTCCAAGTGCCATGCTCTACCAACTGAGCCACTCCAAGTGCCATGCTCTACCAACTGAGCCACTCCATGTGCCATGCTCTACCAACTGAGCCACTCCAAGTGCCATGCTCTACCAACTGAGCCACTCCATGTGCCATGCTCTACCAACTGAGCCACTCCAAGTGCCATGCTCTACCAACTGAGCCACTCCAAGTGCCATGCTCTACCAACTGAGCCACACAAATAAATGATGTTAATGAGTCTGTTCTCTATTTATGTTGCCCATTTTCTCAGTTTGTCAACAAATATAGGCCCTAATGATGGCTAAATAGATTCTCATGACAAATAGATTTGGATGACCTAATGTATTTTAGTTATTTGCCTCTATTTTCTTTTTTCTTTTTATAATAGCCTGCCTAGGGCTATAGATATTGGTTTCCTAAAATGAGATCAAATTAGTTTTATATTGGATATACGGTGGAAATTCGGTTTTCTCTCATTAATAGCTATTGAACCAAGCATACCATGACTATTCTGAATCAGGGGTGGCTAGAGAACCATCCACACCTTTTTTATTTGTATTTAAATCTTTAATAGCTCTTACAAAAAGTGTGCCATGACTATAAAAAACGATATATTCTGAATCTGACGAGGATGGACAAAAATCCACAGCTTTTATTTTGTATAATTTATTTATTATTTCTTTGCTTTCAATCTTCAAGCATCATGGCACGCTTTGTGTAAGAGCTATTGAAAATTGAAAGCAAAAAAAAAAAGATAACTAAAACTTTTTTTGTCCATCCAATATTTTATGCACCTTTCTCATTCCCACAGCAATGAGCATCACGAACAACGGACATACAACTGCAAACCACCCGCACCTCGGATGCACTTGTCCAAGCTAAGGCGAAGCGCGTAGAGCTGAGATTTTGGGAAGAACATATGCTCGTGGTGGAATTACCATGCAGGACGAAAAAATCGACAACAACAACATCTGTGCGTAACACCTTTTGGACATATAATTCCGGACTATATGTTGCAAGCCTGAAGCTTGATGATTTAAAAGTTGTAGCCAAAAGGCACAGCATCTGATCATGTTGTCCCCCGGCTCAGTAAAGGATATAGGAGATACGATTCAGCGCTGATTTATCTATGTGAACCCTTCCCTCTCCTCTCTCTCCGGCTCACCATGAGGCTTTGGAGCAGACCCTGCTGGCGGATGATGCCCTGTCTCTGGCTGCTTATCCTCGCTCTCTCCGTGGGCACGCTGGGCCTCATGGACCTGGTCTTTCGGGATCAGACCCAGACACCGCCCAGCTCGCCCCGCCGTCCCGTCCAGCGTCTTTCCGGTCCACCGGACCTGGAGGTGATCGTGAACTCCTGGGACCGGGCCAAACCAGAGCACGGTCTCCAGTCGCTTAACTCGCTGCAGGAGGACCAGCTTCTCTACATGCCCTCGACCAAGGTGAGGAACCCAGGTCTTCCGCCGAGGAAGGGGACTTACCGGGTGGTTATATCGAGCGCCAAGAAGGAATCGGCGGTCCCGGTGCTACCGACGCGCAGGGATATGGGGAGACCGGTGCTGCTGAAGCCGGAGGGGCTGGAGAAGGACATGGAGAAGTCTGCTTTGCAGAAATACAGCTTTAACGAGGTGGTGAGCGAAAGGATCTCACTGCACCGCAGACTGCCCGAGGCTCGCCATCTTGCGTAAGTGCCCTGCATGTGCCCAAGGAGTGCACCACGCTAAAAGGGGTCTTTGAAAATAAAATTGCCAAAATAACTAGATTACTCGATCAAGGATAAATATGTCGTCTATTTTCAAGATCTCCCTACCACGAAATATGATATATTGTTAATGGGAAGCCTATGGGTTCATGCATAAATATACCCATCCCCTCTCTATTCTCCTGACAATCAATGGGAACGCTTTGACAGGTGCCTCGTGGAGCGTTACAGTGAGTCCCTGCCGTCCGCGAGCGTGGTGGCTCTGTTTCCATGATGAGGCTTGGTCCACGCTTCTGCGCACTGTGCACAGCGTGCCCAACACTGCGCCCAAGGACCACCTGCTCAAGGTCTCGTGGACTACTTTAGTCAGCATGGTGCATAAAGTAGACACAGTACTCAAACACAAGACAGGAGGTGTATCTCAATAGGCTAAAGTACCACTACAACATAACTGCATATCAAACTAAACTTGTTCACTCTCTTCTCACCCTATTAAACTATTTTCGTTGTCTTCTGAATAGACCCCTATCCCCCAAGTGCCCAATTAGTCAATCTGAGTGCTATGCCCATGTTATAACTGTGCCCATCCATCCCAGGGGTTAATTTGGAATTGGCCATTTGTGTGTCTGACCCTGACTCCCTTATCTCTAGGTCACCTGACCCTGAACCTGCCTCCCCTATCTCTAGGTCACCTGACCCTGACCCTGACTCCCTTATCTCTAGGTCACCTGACCCTGACCCTGACTCCCTTATCTCTAGGTCACCTGACCCTCTCCCTTATCTCTAGGTCACCTGACCCTGACCCTGCCTCCCTTATCTCTAGGTCACCTGACCCTGACTCTGCCTCCCCTATCTGTAGGTCACCTGACCCTGACTCTGCCTCCCTTATCTCTAGGTCACCTGACCCTGCCTCCCCTATCTCTAGGTCACCTGACCCTGACCCTGCCTCCCCTATCTCTAGGTCACCTCACCCTGACCCTGCCTCCCCTATCTCTAGGTCACCTCACCCTGACTCTGTCTCCCCTATCTGTAGGTCACCTGACCCTGACTCTGCCTCCCCTATCTCTAGGTCACCTGACCCTGACTCTGTCTCCCCTATCTGTAGGTCACCTCACCCTGACTCTGCCTCCCCTATCTCTAGGTCACCTCACCCTGACTCTGCCTCCCCTATCTCTAGGTCACCTCACCCTGACCCTGCCTCCCCTATCTCTAGGTCACCTGACCCTGACTCTGTCTCCCCTATCTCTAGGTCACCTGACCCTGACTCTGTCTCCCCTATCTCTAGGTCACCTGACCCTGCCTCCCTATCTCTAGGTCACCTCACCCTGACTCTGCCTCCCCTATCTCTAGGTCACCTGACCCTGACTCTGCCTCCCCTATCTCTAGGTCACCTGACCCTGACTCTGTCTCCCCTATCTGTAGGTCACCTGAAGAGTGTGCGGAGTGAGTATGCAGAGTGAGTTTGTGTCGCGGCTGGAAGGGGTGCGTCTGGTCCGCAGGACGCAGCGTCTGGGCGTGGCAGGGTGTCGCACTCTGGGTGCAGCCAGAGCTGTGGGGGAGGCACTGTTCTTCATGGACTCACACTGCGGGTGCCACAGGGGCTGGCTGGGGCCCCTACTGGAGAGAGTGGCACAGGACAGGTATCCACACATCAGGACCGCACGCACACAAACACACATCTCTCTTCCTTATATCTCTGTGTATTATATCCAGTCCTTAATTGCCTCTGGACCTACAGTAGGTAGCTGGTGTGCAATCTGGCTGAGCTGTGTCCAGCAGGGTAGCAGCCATTTAGACTAGTTGACAGAGTCCTTATCCTGCCGCCTGGCACTACACCTCTCTCTCTCTCTCACTCTCTCTGTCTCTCTCTCTTTCTCTCCCCCCTCGCTCTCTCTCCCTCTCTTTCTCTCCCCCCTCGCTCTCTCTCTCCCTCTCTTTCTCTCCCCCCTCTCTCTCTCTTTCTCTCTCCCCTTCCCTCTCATTCTCTCTCTTTCTCTCACCCCCCCCTCTTCTTTCTCTCTCTCTCCCTCTCGTTCTCTCCCCCCTCTCTCTCTCGCTCTACAGCCCCCCGCCCGCGTGTTTAGTTGATACATTCCTCCATCCCCGCCTTCCCTAGTCACAACTCGGGTTTATTCCATAGATTATGGTTTGATGGTTTTTGAATAACTATCCCGCTAGTCAGATAGCAGCAGCGAGATGGCGAACATATTTTTGGTTGCTATGATACAAGCCCCCCAGATACACACAAAAAAAGAAAAGAAGCCATGTGTTTGATGTGTTTGATACCATTCCACTCCAGCCATTACCACGAGCCCGTCCTCCCCAATGAAGGTGCCACCAACCTCCTGTGGTTTATATCCATAGGCATGTGTGTGTTTGTGTGTGTATGTGTTTGTGTGTGTGTGTGAGAGTGAGAGACAGCGAGAGCGCGAAAGAGAGAGAGATTGGCATTGATCTCATGAATGAGTGTGTCCTGTTCCCTGTGCAGTCTGAGAGTCCTAACATTACAGAGCTAGTCAGACTGAAGAAGAGACCGGGCTGCAGAAACTACCCAGACCTCTACATACCCCAGGACAGACCTTCACTCTCAGGAGAGGTAGGAGTCTCTCTATCTCTCACACACACGCACGTAGCCACGCGCACATACACACTTTGAATAGCCTTATCTGTGTTTTAATTTTAATAATATACTGTGTTTTTTTCTTGTATGTTGAACATGTATCCTGTAACATATTATGCCTGTATTTTTGAAGCTGTACAATGTTGGCACTGGCTATTGTGCAGATTACCCTGGAGGACGGGGTCCAACAGGCCGGCACTATGGACATAGCACCCTGCAACAGCAACGGCTACCAGGTAACCATGATGATGAGGATGATGACAATGATGTTGAGTGGTGATGATGATGGTGAGGACGGTGATGATGATGATAATGGTGGTGATGCTGATAATGGTGGTGATGTTGATAATGGTGGTGTTGCTGATAATGGTGGTGATGCTGATAATGGTGGTGATGATGATTATGATGATGATATTCGAGACAGTAAGAGCAGATCGTAAATTCCTAAATCAAAACGTCATGATGATGCTGATGTAGTGATAAAGACTACAGTTTTCCTCCCCTGTCTGTTCTCACTCCATCACTTTGAGCTGAACTCCATGGTGGAGGTGCTTTGAAGGCCAGCAACGTGGCTGTGTTTCGACGCCCAGGGGGAGAAGGTGGTACTAACACCCTGCCCCGCCCATCAGCCGCCCCACAGCAATCCACAGTGGAGGGTCATCTAGGTCAGTGAAGGGGCAAAGGTCATGAAGTGATGTCAATGCCCAAAACTGCAAACTTCAAAAAAATAATTAATTTATATTTGTATGAAATGTTACTTATTTACAGTGCCTTCAGAAAGTATTCATACCCCTTCACTTATTCCAGCCTGAATTCAAAATGGATTAAACAGATTTTTTCTACACACAATAACCCACAATATTTGACCATTATTATTCATATTTGCTCTGTCAAATTGGTTGTTGATCATTGCTAGACAAACATTTTCAGCTCTTGCCATAGATTTTCAAGCTGATTTAAGTCACAACAGTTATTAGGCCACTCAGGAACATTCAATGTAATCTTGATAAGCAATTCCAGTGTGGATTTGGCCTTGTGTTTTAGATTATTGTCCTGCTGAAAGGTGAATTTATCGCCCAGTGTCTGTTGGAAAGCAGTCTGAACCAGGTTTTCCTCTAGGAATTTGTCTGTGCTTTATTCCGTTTCTTTTTATCCTAAAAAACTCCCTAGTCCTTGCCGATGACAAGCATATCCATAACCTGATGCAGCCACCACCATGCTTGAAAATATGAAGAGTGGTACTCAGTGGTGTGTTGTGTTGGATTTGCCCCAAACAGAAAGCTTTGTATTCAGGACATAAATGTAATTTCTTTGCCACATTTCTTTTGCAGTTTTACTTTAGAGCCTTATTGCAAACAGGATGCATGTTTTGGAATATTTTTACTCTGTACAGGCTTCCTTCTTTTCACTCTGTCATTTAGGTTAGTATTGTGGAGTAACTACAATGTTGTTGATTCATCCTCAGTTTTCTCCTATCACAGCCATTAAACCCTGTAACCATTTTAAAGTCACCTTTGGCCTCATGGTGAAATCCCTGAGCAGTTTCCTTCCTCTCCGGCAACTGAGTTAGGAAGTACGCCTGTATCTTTGTAGTGACTGGGTGTATTGATACACCATGCTCAAAGGGATATTCAATGTAGTCTTTCTTTTTTTCACCCATCTACCAATAGGTGCCCTTCTTTGCGAGGCATCGGAAAACCTCCCTGGTCTTTGTGGTTGAATCTGTGTTTGAAATTCACTGCTTGACTGAGGGACCTTACAGATAATTGTATGTGTGGGGTACAGAGATGAGGTAGTCATTCAAAAATCATGGTAAACACCATAATTGCACACAGAGTGAGTCCATGCAACTTATTATGTGACGTGTTAAGCACAATTTTACTCCTGAACTTATTTAGGCTTGCCATAACAAAGGGGTTGAATACTTATTGACTCAAGACATTTCAGCTTTTCATTTTTTATTTGTAAACATTTCTAAAAACATTATGGGGTATTGTGTGTAGGCCAGTGACATACAATATCAATATCAAAAACACAAACACAAAACAGGCAGGTACAACAAACAAGTTACAATTACATCATCTTTGAATCAGTCAATTTCCAAATATGAATCCCATTTCTCCCAGTATTCCTGGCCTCTCTCGTTCTGTGTTCTCAAGGTCATTGAAATGAAGCCTATGTGAGAGGGTGTGCTGCGCTGTGTTCTGCCGCCTTAAAAGAGGAATCGTGCTGAGGGTCTGAGCTTTATTCACACATCTGGATCACAGGGCAAAAGGAAAGGGGACATCAGGGCTGGACCTCATTCAGGCTATTTATTTGCTATGCTTCACTTCGTACAGTTGCTGGATATTGGCGGGAACTGTAACACGCTGTCGTACTAGTCGATCCAGAGCATCCCAAACTTTCTCAATGGGTGACATGTCTGGTGAGTATGCAGGCCATGGAAGAACTGGGACATTTTCAGCTTCCAGGAATTGTGTACAGAAACTTGCGACATGGGGCCGTTCATTATGATGCTGAAACATGAGGTGATGGTGGCGGACGAATGGCACGACAATGGGTCTTAGGATCTCATCACGCTATCTCTGTGCATTCAAATTTGCCATTGATAAAATACAATTGTGTTCGTTGTCCGTAGCTTATGCCTGCCCATACCGTAACCCCACCGCCACCATGGGGCACTCTGTTCACAACGTTGACATCAGCAAACGCTTGCCCACACAATGCCATACACATGGTCTGCGGTTGTGAGGCTGGTTGGACGTCCTGTCAAATTCTCTAAAACGATGTTGGAGGCGGCTTATGGTAGAGAAATTAACATTCAATTATCTGGCAACAGCTCTGGTGGACATTCCTGCAGTCAGCAAGTCAATTGCACACTCCCTCAAAACTTGAGACATCTCTAGCATTGTGTTGTGTGACAAAACTGCACATTTTAGAAGGGCCTTTTATTATCCCCAGCACAAGGTGCACCTGTGTAATGATAATGCTGTTTAATCAGCTTTTTGATATGCCACACCTGTCAGGTGGATGGATTATCTTGGCAAAGGAAAAATGCTCACTAACAGGGATGTAAACAAATTTGTGCACAACATTTGTGAGAAATAAGCTTTTTCTGCACATGGAACATTTCTGGGATCTTTTATTTCAGCCCATGAAACATGGGACCAACACTTTACGTTGCATTTATATTTTTGCTTAGTATAATAATGTTTAAATGTATTCCATGACTATATAACGTTATCATTTCACTGTGGAGAATTCATCTTCAAGTGATTCCTATGAATAAAATGAATTTCATAATAAAAGTGTCATATAAAAAAGGCCAACCATGATCATTTACGACATCTAGGCAGGTGTTTGGAGAGGTGTGCTTTCCGAGTGAAGTTGAAAAGGCAGTGGGGGCAGGGGTACGGTCTCTCCCCTGTGTGGGTCTTCATGTGGACTTTGACATGACTCTGTTCATAAAAGCTTTTCCCACATTCTTGGCAGGAGTATGGCTTTATATCACGGTGAGTGTGGGTCCTCATGTGACTGGTCAGAGAACCAGAGCGGTTAAACCGGCTGGGGCATTCAGGGCATTCAAATGGCTTCTCCCCAGTGTGGAGGAGCTTGTGCTTGGACAGATCCCCAGACTGAGTGAAGCTTTTACTGCACTCGGTACAGGTGTATGGTTTCTCACCCGTGTGAGTCAGATGATGGTTCTTCAGGTGTGAGAGTCGAAAAAACTTCTTGTCGCACACTGTGCAGTGGTAGGGCCTCTCCCCGGTGTGTGAGCGCATGTGTAACTTCAACAACCCCAGCCTCAAGAACGCCCGCCCACAAATCCCACAGTGGTAGTTCTTCTCGTTGCTGTGGATCTTCAGGTGTGTTTTCAGATAAGCTTTGTCAGCAAAGTCTTTACCACACACAGTGCATTTGAAAGGTCTCTCCCCCGAGTGTGTTCGCAGGTGAAGCTTCAGATGGGCCCTGCTTGCATACCGCTTATCGCATTGGGAGCAGGAGAACTTCCTCTCACCAGTGTGAACTGACAGGTGAGTCCAGAGGAGCGACTTCCGTTTGAAAGCTTTCCCGCAGTCCTGGCATTTGAACGGCTTGAGCCCCGAGTGTATTAACGAGTGATAACGGTAACCGCTGTTCTCTGAGAAGCGCTTGCCGCACTCCTTACATTCGTACGGCTTCTCTCCAGTGTGGATGCGCATGTGAGTGTCCAGGCTCGTAGGAGTACTGAGGATCTTCCCACACTCTGAGCAATGGAAGCCGACTTCCAGACAGACCACAGTCTTAGTGTCCTTAGGTTTAGTGCCCTCTGGTTCGTGACACTGGTGTGGCCCCAGTCCCCAGCAATTCTCAAAGCTCTTCCCACAGTCAGCGCAACTGATGTGACCATCGGTGAGAAAAACAGCCATTTTGTGCAAATTCTTGCAATGCTTCAGCAGAGTGCCCAGGTACGGGAATCTGCGGGCACACTGCGGGCAGGGGTGGAGTTTCCCCGGAACCCTGGGGGGACGGGTAGGTTTCTGGGGAAAGGCGGAGGGGTGGGCCTGGCGGGTGTGGATGTGTAGCTGTCGTGGGGTATGGAACATGCAGCTACACTGGGGACAGCTGAGTGTGGGGGCATACAATGTTTTACTCTTTGAGACGTGGCATTTCAACATGGCCAGGTACTGCTTCTGGTGTTTGGTCTTGATGTGGTTCTCCAGGAAGTAACAGTCAGTGAAGGAGATGGTGCAGTGTGGACAAGGAAAGAACTGCGGAGAAGAGACTGAGAGAGAGGGATAGAGAGGTGATTAGGTCTTGCACGCAGAGTAGAATATGTTCTGTTCAGCTTGAGAAGGACAGCACAAAGATGAGGAGGAGGACCGGAGGTCAACTTTGATCACTTGCTACTAATATAATAGATTTTTATTAAAAACAATATGTTTCTTGCCCATGATGTATTTATCAGAGTTATTGACCTCACAATAAGCCACATTTGAGTAACTTACATTGTGGTGCTGAAACTTGAAGCAGCAGCTGCCGCACAATCAATCGAAAATGAACAGCTCACGGTGCTGAAAGAAGGCAAATTCGAGTAGGCATAATTCATTTCGACGTCTTCATTTTAATTAGACTTTACTAACAACAAGAGGGCTTTGCGTTAGAGCCTATTTCTTCCTATTTAAGAAATAAGAGGTAGGTCTACCTGTTTGACAGACAAAATTAGGTTATAGGCTGCTATATCCATAGATTTGTTGGTCAATTCCTCCAACCACCATGCACTCTTTAAATAGCATACCTCCGTGTCAGTGAAGGGCTGTTAATTTAAAACCAAGACTCATATTGAGAGGGTATGAAAGGCCTACTTTTTATTAAAGAAAATGGCACAAAGCACAGGCCTACCCGTTGTTAACTTAATATTTAGAAGAAAATAAACCAGATCTGATTATGTCAAGTGATCTATAACAGAGCTATGGTCCGTGATGCTTTATCCTAGAAACAAGCTGTACAATACCTGGGAAAGACATCACTTCAATGGATATGGGGATATATATATTGATTCGTTTCTTTGACATTCAGTGGCTGAGCTACAACCTTCTATAGCAGAGGAGACAAAACATTTACTTTGCTTGGGAAGTAATCTAATTCTGTCACTATTAATTGAATAAGCTATTCACTTTCTGTACAATAGAAGTTGTTTAAACCCAGACAGCTTTTGGGGAAACACTTGAGACCTTCTTTATTTGGGTTAAGCCACAGAAGAAGAGTAGTCAGCAGTTAAAGCTTACATTTCTCTGCGTAGGTAGGCCTACTCTGTCTGGGGTGGTAAGGTAGGCCTAACTTTTGAAAGTACCATGCTCAAATTCCTAAGGACATCTCAGATGTAATTATTTTGCAAACAGGGACAGTTTCATTGCAAACAAGACACACTGATTTGGCAATAGATATTTATGATAAGATGAACGCATAGGCCTATCTCTCTGTCCATTCTTATTAGCCTGTAATTTCAGTCATTTGTGTGGTATTAAAAAAGATTCTGATAATATGTACAATTACGTAGAATTGCATGAAATGTTTATAAAAGGGATTTGTTTTCTCTGACCTGCAAACACGAATATAGATTCATGCAATGCTTTTACTATAAAGGACATATTTCCACCTGTACTCTTGTCCACAGTGGTCTGCGAATCCACAAACTTTTGACCCGAGCCCTGTGCGCTATAAAATATTCTGCGTTGCCATGTAATGCTTTCAGGACAAATAACAGTTTCTAAGGCTCTGGTCTGTCCAAGAAGTGAGGGTAAACACTAGACATGTTCTCTGCTATCTGCTTTATGTTTTAATTCTTATTTTGGGTATAAGGGAGGGTCACTTTTTTTTTTAAGCGTTCAGGGAGGGTTTATGTAAATGTTCTTCATGTAACCCTTATTGTAAATAATGTTCTCTCCCTAAGAGGGGGAACAAACAAAAATGAGGAATGTCATTTTCTTAATTCAAGAATAAGGAAATAATCCCTGCTGATATCAAATTAAAATATTCAGTAATTCATCACCCATTTTCATTGCAGTGTTGGGTGTAGACTGGAGTATGTACATGTCCTACCGTCATTGTTGTCTTTATCCATCCTGGCATCCGTCTCCTCCTTCACCAAACGCACTTTAGTTTCTCTCAGAAGAGTCTTAACCACCACCTTATAAATTAGAAAGATGAAGAAACCACAGTAAGCATAAACCAACAATCTACACTGAACTAAAATATAAAACGCAACATACAACAATCAAAGATTTTACTGAGTTACAGTTAATGTAAGGAAATCAGTCAATTAAAATAAATATATTAGGCCCTAATCTATGGATATCACATGACTGGAATCAGAAAACCAGTCAGTATCTGGTGTGACCACCATTTGCCTCATGCAGCGTGACACATCTCCTTCGCATAGAGTTGATCAGGCTGTTGATTTTGGCCTGTGTAATATTGTCCCACCCCTCTTCAATGGCTGTGCGAAGTTGCTGGATATTTTGCCGGGAACTGGAACATGCTGTCGTACACGTCGATCCAGTGCATCCCAAACATGCTCAATGGGTGACATGTCTGGTGAGTATACAGGCCATGGAAGAACTGGAACATTTTCAGCTTCCAGGAATTGTGTACAGATCCTTGCGACATGGGGCTGTGCATTATCATGCTGAAACATGAGGTGATGGCGGCGGATGAATGGCACAACAATGGGCTTCAGGATCTCGTCACGGTATCTCTGTGCATTCAAATTGCCATCGATAAAATGCAATTGTGTTTGTTGTCCGTAGCTTATGCCTGCCCATACCATAACCCCACCCCCACCATGGAGCACTCTGTTCACAACGTTGACATCAGAAAACCCGCTCGCCCACACGACACTATACACACTGTCTGCCATCTGCCCGTTACAGTTCAAACCGGGATTAATCTGTGAAGAGCACTTATTCAGCGTGCCAGTGGCCATCGAAGGTTAGCATTTGCCCACTGAAGTCTGTTATGACGCCGAACTGCAGTCAGGTCAAGACCCTGGTGAGGACGACGAGCACGCAGATGAGCTTCTCTGAGACAGTTTGTGCAGAAATGATTTGGTTGTGCAAACCCACAGTTTCATCAGCTGTCAGGGTGGCTTGTCCAAGACGATCCCGCAGGTAAAGAAGCCGTATGTGTAGGTCCTGGGCTGGCGTGGTTACCACGTGCCAAATTCTCTAAAACGACGTTGGAGGCGGCTTATGGTAGAGAAATTAACATTCAGTTCTCTGGCAACTGCTCTGGTGGACATTCCTGTAGTCAGCATGCCAATTGTGGCATTGCGTTGTGTGACAAAACTGTACATTTTAGAGTGGCCTTTTATTGTCCCCAGCATAATGTGCACCTGTGTAATGATCATGCTGTTTAATCAGCTTCTTGATATGCCACACTTGTCAGGTTGATGGATTGTCTTGGCAAAGGAGAAATGCTCACTAACCGGGATGTAAACAAATTTGTGCACAACATTTGAGAGAAATAAGCTTTTTGTGCGTATGGAACATTTCTGGGATCTTTTGTTTATATTTTTGTTCAGTGTAAATGCTCATCTAGTTACTAAGGCACTGAACGTTAATTATAATAAAGGTTACATGGAGAAAATCGGACCTCTCTGAAATGAAAATGGATGGCCTCCCTTCAGCAAAATATATTTGACCTTCCCTGAAAAAAAAGTGACCCTCCCCTATACCCCAAACAATAATGAAAACAAAGTGGATAGCAGAGAACATGTCTACCGTTTACCCTCACTTCCTGGACAGACCACAGCCTTAGATATGTAGTTTTAGAAACCGTTCTTCGTTCTGTAAGCATTACATGGCAATGCAGGAATTCTGATAGCGCACAGGGCTGCGCGCCAGAAGGTTGAAGGTTTGCAGACCAACATGGACAAGAGTAAGCATGAAAAGATCTCCATTAAAGTAAAAGCATTGCATGAATCTATCCTCGTGTTTGCAGGTCAGAGAAAAAAATTGCCTTTTATAAACATTATAAACACAATTCTACGTCATTTTAAATATTAGCGGAATCTTTTTTAATACCAGGGTAAGAATGGACAGATAGGCCTATGTGTTCATATTATAATATTTATCTAATGCCAAATCAGTGTGTCTTGTTTGCAACGAAACTATCCCTGTTTGTAAATAATTAAATCTGAGACGTCATCAGGAATTTGAGCATGGTACTTTCAAAAGTTAGCCCCACCCCAGACAGAGTAGGCCTACAGACGCAGAAAAAAATTATGCTTTAACTGCTGGCTTCTCTTCTTCCGTGGCTTAACCCAACAAGAGAAGGTCACAAGTGTTTCCCCTAAAAGCTGTCTGGGTTTAAACATTTTCTATTGTACAGAAAGTGTCTATTTGTTGTCTCTTGGGCTATAGAAGGTTGTAATTCAGCCTCTGATTGATTCCAGGCTGCATCACAACCGGCCGTGATTGGGTGTCCCATAGGGCGGCGCACAATTGGCCCAGCGTCGTCCGGGTTTGGCCGGTGTAGGCCGTCATTGTAAATAAGAATTTGTTCTTAACTGACTTGCCTAGTTAAATAAAGGTAAAAAAAAAAAAAAAAAAAAAAAAAAAAGTCAAATAAACTAAACTGTGATATTCTCATATCCATTGAAGTCATGTCTTTCCCGGGTATTTTACAGCTTGTTTCTAACATAAAGCATTGTGGACCAAAGCGCTGTTATAGATCACTTTACATAATCGCATCAGTTTTATTTTCTTTCAAATATTAAGCTAACAATGGGTAGGTAGGCCTGTGTTTTTTTTTGCCATTTTCTTTAATAAAAGGTAGGCCTTTGGCATACCCTCTCAATTCAAGTCTTGGAGGTAGGCTATTTGAAGAGTGCATGGTGGGTGGAGGATTGACCGACACATCTATGGATATAGCAGCCTATAGCCTAATTTCGTCTGTCGAACAGGTAGGCCTACCTCTTATTTCTTAAATAGTAAGAAATACGCTCCAACACAAAGTCCTATTATTGTTAGTTTTATATTCTAAAACACTGTGAAAAATTGAAATTTCATCAATTACATGACCCTCCCCATAACTAGATTTTCCTCCAGTAACCATTCTGTAAATGTCGATCCATCCCTAAACGTCACATGTTGAGAGACTACTAACTCGTCTTACATTGGACAATTTTGTTAGTATCACCACAGGACTCCTCGATATCTTGCTACACCGAGTTGGTTGGTCGGACGTAGTTTGATGTTGCTTGACGTGCTTTTGCTTCTCCAGCAAGGGACGTTTGGAACGGTCACCAGTTTCCTTCCGTTCAAAGTCTCCTGGTTCTTTTTTTATCCGGATGGAGTTGAAAGTAACCCCATTAGTGTTGGACTGTGTAGTCCTCTTGGTTGTGTTGCTTTGCGTTTTCCCAGGTTTGTTATTCATCTTGTTGACTTGAGTACCTCGGTCAGGTTAAGTCGGCACTTTCCTCTTCCTTTGAATTCTGCTGGAAAGACTAGCTTGGTAGACAACTCAAGACCAGGTCATCACAATAATAGCCTATCCAACACAACAAAGTTAACATTACGCTTCATTATAAAAAAAAAACAACGCAGAATTATTAAGAAACAATACTTCTGCATGAACCAAATGCTGAAGCCTAACTGATTATTGATAGAACATCCATGACATGGAGCAATGTTGCGTTTGGTCTGCGCAGTTTCTGCGCAAATATGAATACACGAAAGAGTATGCCGTCAATCACTTCCGGAGTCAACACATTTTCAGGAAGGTTATCTAACTTGCAAGAAGATCATATAAAACAAATTCTCATGAGATTGGCAAGACTTGCTTTTCAGAGAGACTAGCTATATTCTGTAGGGAATGCAGTCAAGACTACGATAGCTGTATGCTGTAACTGTTAATTAAGTGAAAGGGCATAGGCTTGTGTAACTGGGCTGGCTGAGCTAGTTAAAAAAACTATTTTAAAAACTGTGGTTGGTTAGCATGCTAGCTACACCAAACGTAAATGCTGTGGTGCAGAGATGCTAGCTAAAATAAGAAGAGACCGAGGGTGTCGTAATCGATTTCTGTAGCAATTAATTATATTGCTTTACTGTTAACGTTAGCTAACTAGTCAACTAGCTATCGATAAATGACTGTCACCAGCTTGCTCACTGTCATCTGTCAAATCTGGTTTTGATCACTATAGCTAGCTAGCTACCAACACCAACTTTCTCTCTTTCTCCACTCTCTACCTCAATAGGTTGCGTCTCTAAAGAAAAGGTAAAGTGCCATTATATTGCGCAATGAGCGTCCCCTGTATACTTTCCACGGCTGCTCGAAGCTCCACATTGCCGGGGGCGTACGGCGGTCTGCTACGGTCCCGTGTATTGTGCCCGTGTTCGATCACAAGGTGAGTTGGGTTTCATCTCGAATATGTCGAGTATTGTTGGTGTCAGGTGGCCCTTCACCCCGCTGTCATTATTGCGGAGTTAGGACAGGGCTTGAGGCTGATTGTGCGGCTACTACACTTTTGTCACATCTTTAACAACACCAAAGCTTCCATACACCCGGAACTACTCTCCTGTTTTTAGATGATCATTATTTACTTAAAGTTCGCTGGACCCAGCTAACAATAGGTAAAAGTCAATTTACTGTTTGTTTTGACGTCTGCACACAGGTGAGACTGAAGTCTCTTTCTAGGGGCCATTGAGGTTATACACGTAACTGACCTTTGTGATGATCAGCTTGGCTACATTATTTTCTGATAGACAGACATGTTTAAATAAAGTAGGCATTTCTGTTGTCTTTTCAGGAAAATGTCATCCAGAAGACAAATGGACCATCTAGAGAGGACAGCCAGCAACTATAGACAAGATGTGAGTGACCATCCAGCTGTGTTCATACTATAGCAACAAGCCTGTGGCTTATGCAATTCAAAGCTGAAAACAGTTTTAGAATCTGTGTTATGATGAGACTGACAATATCGAAGACATTTTGCTTGTCTGTGTATGTCTAGGCTAAAGGTTACTAATGTTCAGAGTCTCAACTAATGCCACAGTTTTAAAATGTTAATCTTCATGATTGATTGACAGGTTATTTCATTTGTAAACTGTGTGTTGGTGTGTGTGTCCAGCGTGTATATCCGGCGCGGGTATGTGGCATCATGGACGAGTCTGAGACAGTGAAACGCCTCCGGCTAGCTGTCCATCCAGACTTCACTTTCAGAGCTGGCCAGTGGTGAGTAGTACAGTACTGTCATTTGTTTGGCTACATTCATAGCTCATTGAAAGGAATCTGAATACAGCATTTACACCAATGGCTATGGGGTGAGGATGCTTACACCTATCCAATCCTTTCAGATCTGCACAAGTGCGTAGGTTGTAGGTACGGGTAGATACGGTATAGTGGGGAGAGGCAGTGTGTTGTCACAATTAACCAGTATATCACATCAACAAAGGTACAGTTTGTTGGACAAAAGGTCCACACAGGGGCATAGAGGTTATTGAGTTTATTATCTGACACAGGCTGCTGTCAATCATCGCACACAGTGAGAGAAATGACATGCTGCAATCCGTCAAGGTCTTGAACGAGCCTTGTTTATAATGACTATAATACCTTTACCAGGCACTAGAGGGAAGTGTTGCATTGAATGTGCATTACGCTATTTACGGTGTTGCTCTCTGCTGCCACTCTTCCCCAGGTCATTGTGGTAAAAGAGGGTGTTCTCAATCAACCCACCTGGTTAAAATACAGGTAAATAAATAAGTTGATCATTTGATAAACAAATGCATATGATGACATCAGGAAACAGTTGGGGAGGTTATTTTAGACCCATTAACAGGCGTTATAATATATGCCATTTAGCAGACACTTTTTTTCCAAAGCGACTTAGTCGTGCGTTCGTACATTACGAATGGGTGGTCCCGGGAATCGAACCCACTACCCTGGCATTACAAGTAGCACGCTCTACCACTGAGCTACAAAGGACCATGGCATTAGTATTGTAGCTAAAAGCAAAGCACACATCCATAAACATGTTTAATTTATGTGATGTAAAAGTACATTCAGTTGATAAATATCCCCTTTGACTCTGTGGTCCATACTGTTGGTGGGCGGTTTGTGTTGTGTATAAACAGAAGTGGTTGGTGAGTTGCCCCCCAGCGTTCAGTAATGAATGTAAAATAGATGTAAATACTTTGGTTACACCTCCTCCAGTCCATATGACAGGTGGGTAGGAGGAGTGGGAGAAACATATGTGTGTGTCTCTGTTTAGGTGTCAGAGAGAGGGAGAGGGAGAGATGCTTGCTAGTTGTTATTGCCTTGGAGGGCTGTGTTACTTGTCGTTTTTTAAAAACTTGTGGAAAGTTATGAGTTTCAGCCAAGTTACCACTTCCAGTGGTATGTTATGTGGAGAGATGTGAGAGACATGGACACATTCTGTACATTTTGAGGTTGAGTTTGAATCCGTTAGATTATGTTCTCAGTTGGACACGTTTTGCATTACTTAACATTAACAGTGCTCTTTTTGTCTCTCTCTGTCTCTCTCGGTCTCTCTCTGTCTGTCTCTGTCTGTCTCTGTCTGTCTCTCTCTGTCTGTCTCTGTCTGTCTCTGTCTCTCTGTCTCTAGGGTGGACTTCTTTATCCCTGGTATGGAGAAGGTAGGAGGATTCTCTGTGTGTTCCAGTCCAGGTCTGCTGCAGAGAGAGGGCGTTATCGAGCTGGCTGTCAAATACACACAACATCCCCCCGCACACTGGATACACACCAGGGTGAGTGTGTGTGTGTGTGTGTGTGTGTGTGTGTCTACTGTCGTGGTCAAAAGTTGTTCGTCACCAAACTGTTCTTGGATGGTTGGGAGAAGTTGCTCTCGGAGGATGTGTTGGTACCATTCTTTATTCATGGCTGTGTTCTTAGGCAAAATTGTCTCTCCATCTGATGATGTCTGTCTGTCTGTCTGTGTGTGTGTGTGTGTATAGGTTTTATTGTAAGTCTGATCTCATCCAGTAGCTGTGTCTTCTCTGAGCATGTGTGTGACTGTGGTTGTCGCCACAAAGCTGTCTGATATTCCACAGTAAAGTGGTTGGAGACTGCACTCAGCCCTGGGATTGTTTGATGAGCCTGTTGTTTGATAACTCTTCCTCCTGTCTGTACTGTGTTAGTGGGGAGACCATGACAACAGATAAAGCAGAGGAGAGAGTGTGTGTGTGTGTGTGTGTGTGTGTATATGTTTGAGTAAGTAAGTGTGTGTGTGTGTGTATGAGTGCGCGCGCGTATGAGTGTGTGCGCGTATGAGTGTGTAAAGAGAAAGGGAATTTGCTGCTGATGTCTTCAAAAGAACCCCCCTACCAGCCATAAGATCTCTCGCTCTCTCCCATAGTGTGTGGAACAGCATCTCCTGAGACTCCTGTCAGAAGTAGCTAAACCGATGCTGCACTGGAAGTACTTTTTTTTAAACCTCTATAACATACTTTTTCTCCACAATAGGGAACAGAAAGCAGAGACTTCTAGAATGTGGACACATCTCATACCTGAGTTATTTATTAGTACAAAACAATCACTATTTTTATTCTTCTTTCTCTCTCTCTGTCTCTCTCTCACAGTGCACTGTCGACTCCCATGTAGCGATGCGTGTGGGCGGTAACTTCTTCTTTGACCCCCTGCCCTCTGACCCCTGTGTTGACCTGTTGTTGGTGGCAGGGGGCGTGGGCATTAACCCTCTATACTCCATCCTGCTCCACGCCGCTGACCTGCTACGACAGAACCCCGCTAACGTAGGGAGGGGCTATGACATAGGCTCCACCCACCTCTGCTACAGCGCCAAGAACGCACAAGAGTTGCTCTTCAAGGTGAGAGAGAGAGAAACAGAGGGGGAGGGAGAGAGAGAGAGATGTGCGGGTTGACTCATAACCCGCAGTCCCTGTGGCTATATCCGCGGGGCGGGTGGGTTTAGGGTCATGAAATATTGTGTTGATGAAAGGCAGGTGGGGGGCAGGCGGGTTGAATAAAGAGAAAATGCATTAAAAAATCCATAAATGTATAAATATTGTGAAAAAACCCTCAATGTAGGCTTTACTGTAGATATCATTCATATCTATAGGCTACATATAGTTTTTTCTTTTATTAGTTCTATCTGGCGTTAGTGCGTAGCCTAAGCTTTAGGGCCTAACTGTAGTGGTCCAAATACACACCAACTGCCAAATCACAAGACAGGGACTTCAAAATGGCACATCAAGGGAACTGGACTGTTCAGATGGGTTAAATGGAATAGTAGCCTAACTGAAATCTGGACACTCATTTCTTACAGTAAAATGATACACTAAATGTCAATTTTGACTCGGGGAACAGGAGTGGAGAAATATGATTTATTTATTTCAGCATAGAGAATGAATACGCGGTTAGGGACCGTCTGTAAATGTGGCGGTGCTATTTTTATCAGCATCATATAAGCTGATTAGTATTTCAACCACAAAATATGCATCTAAGCCAAACTGAAATCTTATCCAAAAAATGTTCGGTCGTTTTAACAGCTTTTCTTTTCCTTAAACCGGTCAAACTGATGTAATTTTGAAAAATTTGCATGGAAAATCTTTCATTTTTTTGCATTATTGCATTTTCCCTGCCGTCCCTTAACGTCTTTGCTGTGTGAGAGAAGCAGAAATGATTTAGATTTTACTATATTAGGATCCCCATTAGCCAACGCCAATGGCAACAGCTGGTCTTACTAGGGTCTGACACATAATGAAAAAGACTACAGACAAAACTCTTTACAATTTACATACATTTAAAAACATTAACACGTAGTGTGTGTGTGCATCTACAGTGCCTTGCAAAAGTATTCATCCCCCTTGGCGTTTTTCCTATTTTGTTACATTACAACCTGTAATTTTAATTTGATTTTTTATTTGGATTTCATGTAATGCACAAAATGGTCCAAATTGGTGAAGTGAAATGAAAATTCAAAAAAATGAATAACGGAAAAGTGGTGCATGCGTATGTATTCACCCGCCTTTGCTATGAAGCCCCTAAATAAGATCTGGTGCAACCAACTACCTTCAGAAGTCACATAATTAGTTAAATAAAGTCCACCTGTGTGCAATCTAAGTGTCACATTATCTGTCACATGATCTCAGTATATATACACATGTTCTGAAAGGCCCCAGTCTGCAACATCACTAAGCAAGGGGCACCACCAAGCAAGCGGCACAATGAAGACCAAGGAGCTCTCCAAACAGGTCAGGGACAAAGTTGTGGAGAAGTACAGATCAGGGTTGGGTGATACAAAAATATCCGAAACGTTGAACATCACACAGAGCACCATTTAAATCCATTATTAAAAAATGGAAAGAATATGGCACCACAACAAACCTGCCAAGAGAGGGCCGCCCACCACAACTCACGGACCAGGCAAGGAGGGCATTAATCAGAGAGGCAACAAAGAGACCAAAGATAACCCTGAAGGAGCTGCAAAGCTCCACAGCGGAGATTGGAGTATCTGTCCATAGGACCACTTTAAGACATACACTCCACAGAGCTGAGCTTTATGGAAGAGTGGCCAGAAAAAAGCCATTGCTTAAAGAAAAAATAAGCAAACACGTTTGGTGTTCGCCAGAAGGCATGTGGGAGACTCCCCAAACATATGGAAGAAGGTACTCTGGTCAGATGAGACTAAAATTGAACTTTTTGGCCATCAAGGAAAACGCTATGTCTGGCACAAACCCAACACCTCTCATCACCCCGAGAACACCATCCCCACAGTGAAGCATGGTGGTGGCAGCATCATGCTGTGGGGATGTTTTTCATCGGCAGGGACTGGGAAACTGGTCAGAATTGAAGGAATGATGGATGGCGCTAAATACAGGGAAATTCATGAGGGAAACCTGTTTCAGTCTTCCAGAGATTTGAGACTGGGACGGAGGTTCACCTTCCAGCAGGACAATGACCCTAAGCATACTGCTAAAGCAACACTCGAGTGGTTTAAGGGGAAACATTTAAATGTCTTGGAATGGCCTAGTCAAAGCCCAGACCTCAATCCAATTGAGAATCTGTGGTATGACTTAAAGATTGCTGTACACCAGCGGAACCCATCCAACTTGAAGGAGCTGGAACAGTTTTGCCTTGAAGAATGGGCAAAAATCCCAGTGGCTAGATGTGCCAAGCTTATAGAGACATACCCCAAGAGACTTGCAGCTGTAATTGCTGCAAAAGGTGGCTCTACAAAGTATTGACTTTGGGGGGGTGAATAGTTATGCACGCTCAAGTTTTCTGTTTCTTTGTCTTATTTCTTGTTTGTTTCACAAAAAAGTGGTAGGCATGTTGTGTAAATCAAATGATACAAACCCCCAAAAAATCAATTTTAATTCCAGGTTGTAAGGCAACAAAATAGGAAAAATGTCAAGGGGGGTGAATACTTTCGCAAGCCACTGTATCAGTTACACATGTCAGTACACAACAATTAGGTCACATGGGGGAGAGGCGTTGTGCCGTGAGGTGTTGCTTTATTTGTTTTTTGAAACCAGGTTTGCTGTTCACTTGCGCTATATAAGATGCAATCATGGCTCTGTATAATACTGTACGTTTCCTTGAATTTGTTCTGGACCTGGGGACTGTGAAAAGACCCCTGGTGGCATGTCTGGTGGGGGAAAGTGTGTGTGTGTCAGTGCTGTCTGTAAATTGACTATGCAAACAATTAGAAGTTTCCAACACATTGTTTCTTATAAACACTAGAAGTGATGCAGTCAGTCTTTCCTCAACACCTAGCCAAGAGAGACCGGCATGCATAGTATTGATATTAGCCCTCTGATTACAATGAAGAGCAAGACATGCTGCTCTATTCTGGGCCAGCTGCAGCTTAACTAGGTCCTTCTTTGCAGCACTTGACCATATGACTGGACAATAATCAAGATAACCCCCCATTCATTCTATCGATTTATGACGTTATTCTGGTGAGCAAGGGTTTATTTCATCTTCTGGGGCAACAAGTAATGACAGAAAAGAAGCTGCATGTATCTAATTATACAAGTTGACTAACAAATAGCCTGCTAAAATGTAGGAAATTATAAGCAGAAAAATAGGCCTGTCAAAAAATCTTTCCGCGATCTGACTGTACAGCGCATTTTCTATATTAGCAGGTTAGGGTTGGGTGCGGGCCTCAGATTTTCACTTTATCACATATAGTCGGGCGGTTGCGGATGGGATGTTAGAACAAACAGCTGACCCGCACATCACTAGTGTGCTAGTGTTGCCCCTGAGTGAGGGTGGTTGTCAATGCAAGTATTTGTATCAATATATATATACTGAAAAAATATATAAACGCAACATGCAAGAATTTCTAAGATTTTATTGAGTTACAGTTCATATAAGGAAATAAATAAATTGAAATAAATAAATTAGGCCCTAATCTATGAATTTCACGACTGGGAATACAGATATGCATCTGTTGGTCACAGATACCTAGAAAAAAAAGTAGGGGTGTGGATCATAAAACCAGTCAGTATCTGGTGTGACCACCATTTGCCTCATGCAGCGCAACACATCTCCTTCACATAGAGTTGATCAGGTTGTTGATTGTGACCTATGGAATATTGTCCCACTCCTCTTCAATGGCTGTGTGAAGTTTGCTGGATATTGGCGGGAACTGGAACACGCTGTCGATCCAGAGCATCCCAAACTTGCTCAATGGGTGACATGTCTGGTGAGTATGCAGGCCATGGAAGAATTGGGACATTTTCAGCTTCCAGGAATTGTGTACAGATCCTTGTGACATGGGGCAGTGCATTATCATGCTGAAACATGAAGTGATGGCGGTGGATGAATGGCACGACAATGGGCTTTAGGATCTAATCACGTTATCTCTGTGCATTCAAATTGCCATCGATAAAATGCAATTGTGTTCGTTGTCCGTAGCTTATGCCTGCCCATACCATAACCCCACCGCCACCATGGGGCACTCTGTTCACAACGTTAACATCAGCAAACCGCTCGCCCACACGACACTATACACACTGTCTGCCATCTGCCCGTTACAGTTGAAACCGGGATTAATCTGTGAAGAGCACTTATTCAGCGTGCCAGTGGCCATCGAAGGTGAGCATTTGCCCACTGAAGTCGTTTACGACACTGAACTGCAGTCAGGTCAAGACCCTGGTGAGGACAACGAGCATGCCGATGAGCTTCCCTGAGACGGTTTTTGACAGTTTTTGCAGAAATTCTTCGGTTGCGCAATCCCACATTTTCATCAGCTGTCTCGGACAATCCCGCAGTTGAAGAAGCTGGATGTGGAGGTCCTGGGCTGGCTTGTTACACGTGGTCTGCGGTTGTGAGGCCGGTTGGACTTACTGCCTAATTCTCTAAAATGACGTTGGAGGCGGCTTATGGTAGAGAAATGAACGTTCCATCTTCTGGCAACTGCTCTGGTGGACATTCCTGCAGTCAGCATGCCAATTGCACGCTCCCTCAAAACTTGAGACATCGGTGGCATTGTGTTGTGTGACAAAACTGCACATTTTAGAGGGGCCTTTTATTCTCCCCAGCACAAGGTGCACCTGTGTAATGATCATGCTTTTTAATAAGCTTCTTGAAATGCCACACCTGTCAGGTGGATGGATTATCTTGGCAAAGGAGAAATGCTCACTAACAGGGATGTAAACATTTGTGCACAAAATTTGAGAGAAATAAGCTTTTTGTGCGTATGGAACATTTCTGGGCTCTTTTATTTCAGCTCATGGTACCAACACTTTACATGTTGCGTTTATATTTTCGTTCAGTGTATTTGTATCAGTATATCTATTTGTATTATATCAGGGTGTGTGTGTGGGTGGGTGAATGAGACCTCTTCTCTGCTCTCAGAAAACCATCATAGACGTGTGTAAAGAATTCCCAGAGAAATTCTCCTGTGACTTCCACATCACTGCACAGACGGCAGACATCGACCAGGAACTCCAACCGTACATGAACCGTAAGTACTACAGAATGACCTCAACACAACTACAAATGTTTACTGATATAATCTGCAACGGGTTTGTATACTTTGTGGCATTGAAGTGATCTATATTTTAACTGGATATGTTTCCATTGGCTGCAAAAAAATACATTCAATTTATTTAAATGAATGCTAGTTCACAAAATGACAGCACTATATGAAAGTACGTTTTCCATGTCTTGTTTTTTAAAATGAAACTTTAAATAAATGTTGATTTGATCTTCCCCAGGTGGGAGGCTATCAGAGGGGGAGTTGCGTCATCACGTCGACCCTAACACTACTCTGTGTTACCTGTGTGGCCCTCCACCCATGATAGAGAGCATGGTCCAGACCCTGCTCAGCCTAGGCCTATCCCGGGACAGGATACTGTTTGAGAAGTGGTGGTAGTGTGTACTAGAAACAGACCTCTTCATCATCACTCACCCCGGCCTAACTATCCACTGCTGCATCACTGGCTAGTGGATATCAATGGTGGGAGGACCCACCCTGCTCTCTCCCCCAGTACCTATGAGTTCAAAGACCAACCCAACACACACCACCCAGACCACGCACCCGCCCATGTTACCATGGCAACATTTTGTGGGACATTGGACCATATTTCTCCGCAGGTGTGACCTGGCCGCATCATTTGATTTATTTTACCCTCACCTGAACATGTATTTCTACCAGGTACCAACTTGAACAACTGGCTCGACTCGGCTACAATTTGAACAAATTAACGCGCAACTGAACTCATCTCTCTTTACCGGAATATTCAACTATCACCTGACTCGAGTGTTCACCAAATGCAATGAACATCAGTTGTACATTCCGAGAGTGTGTACGGGGCCATTGATCTGAGCCTGGCTGATGTTGACCTCTGACCTGTGTGAAGTGCACTATAATGTGTGTGTATATAGCTTTCCTGATGATCCACTATATGGATCGTTGCCCAGTGGAGAAACACTCAAACTGTCCTCACCTCAGTGACGGTTAGAAACTCAATCTTGCCCTCCCACCTATTTTCTGAGTGACTTTTTCTGTATCAAACTAATTAAGAAAATATTCATTTTATTCAGGGCTATTGTATTTGAGTAAAGAATGTGTATGTACAATTCGGTACAGGATAAATATTTGATAACTGAATCTTATTTATTTCTTGCAGCAGAGGTCATTTATAAAGGTTTTCGTTTTTCAGACAACCCACCCATCAAAAGCCCTGTTTATACCTGGTGCTAAAATGCATACTCATATTGTCCACATTTTTTGAAGTTTAGACAATTAAGGCCTACATTCACTCAGCTCAAGCGTTAACCGGCGATAGCCCACTCCCGCATAGCTGATGTTTTGGAGGTGTAACTGCGTTGGAGCTGTCAAATCGGTGAGCAGCAGCTATTGATCATTGTCATGAAGCCACACCCACCCCACTCACATTAGGTCAGAATGAGCAAGTGTAGGCTATATAGAAATAATGAGGATTTCTATCAGCCTAATCAAGGTGTAGATTACATCTCACATTCCAGTGTTCGAACTTGTTAAACAAGGCTGCATGGGATTTCTGTTAATGAGAACTCCAGTGTAGCCAATGGCAATGTCTGCTTTAGGTATAATGCCAGGAGCCACTTGTGGATTTGACAGCTCTAACACGTCAAAACAACCGCTATGCGGATGTCGGCTAAAGCGGATCTGAGTGTGATCGGCTAAAGCGGATCTGAGTGTGATCAGATCTTTCTGACCACCTTCGGAAGTAGTCAGGGACGATGAGACTGGTTGAATGGGGGGCAGAGCTTAGAATGACAGGTCAGTGGTTGGAGATTACAGGTGAGAGTCAAATAAAATAAACCAGATGTGGACCAGAAGGTCCCAGGTTTTAATCTTGCAGATGCCCGCTCTCAAAAAAGTTATTTATAGCAATGGTTACACCTCGCATTAACATGTGTTTTTTGTGATCCGATCAAGATAATCCAATCACTATCAGGGACAATCAGAATGTGGACAAGATCAGGATACATTGTTTGCATTAGGTATAAAGGGGCTAGAGAGATCATCACACCAGCAATAGTATTTATAGAAAGTAAAAACTATGTAGACCTTAAAACATATCTCCCCCACATCCTGGCAAATGTCCCCTTATCCCATCTCTCTCTTCCGCTCACATCACAACTTCCTCCAAACACACTCATACAGGCCTGAAATTACATTTACATTTTAGTCATTTAGGAGACGCTCTTATCCAGAGCGATTTACAGTTAGTGAGTGCATACATTTTCATATTGGCCCCCCTTGGGAAACGAACCCACAACCCTGGCGTTGCAAGCGCCATGCTCTACCAACTGAGCTACGGGGGACTATTACACACGTCTCACATACTCAAATGAGTTTGCGTACAGGGGCAGAGGGGATCTCCCATGGTGCACTGTAATGGAACCTCCAGGTGGTGCCTGATTGGTCCATAGCATGACGTCTCCCTCAGATGGTTTCTGGTTTTCGTTTCTCTGTGGGGGTTGCCGTGATGATTTTAACATATTTTTCAGAGTTTTTGCTCCTCAGATGTAGGGAGACTGAGGAGATTACACAGACATCAGTATAATTTGAATGCAGGTTGAAATAAAAGAAAATGGAATCCACATATTGTTTTGTGAACTGTTTATTCCTCCTGTTTGTCTGTAATAGGAGGCTACGTCCCAAATGGCACCCTATTCCCTACATAGTGTACTGCTTTTGACCAGAGCTGAATGGGAATACGTTACCATTTAGGACACTACCAAAGACTTGCATACCACACCACTCACACAACACACTTCCAGAGCAGGAAGAGGACTATGGCGCCGTACAAATATTCCTAAAATGTACTCCATAAATCCCTTCCATAAAGTATAATCACTGACCTGACATAACATGGTAGGTGAAAGCTATGCAGTGGAACCATGACACCTATCCAATCATGATATGTAGATTAAGTATTCACTCAGGGCCATAGACCTTGACTATAATGGGTTAAATAGAGAAGTAGAGTATCTACTTAAATGTACAGTATTCTTTGATACATATAGATCTATAAACAGTGATCCATAGGTAGGGGAAAACATTTATGTTACCATGGCAATTAAGGCTCTTACCTCTAAACCCTGACCTACATCATGTGCACATTCTCATTGGCCACTACATGAACCAATGACACTGGCCCAAAGCAGATGCATAACAACTGTACAAATACACCTCCATATATTAATGCCTAATAGGCTAATCCATTACAACACTCTGGGGTGAAGTTTGCCATAGGTACAGATCTAGGATCAGCTTCCCCTGCCCCAATCCTAACCTTAACCATTGGTGGAGGAAATGTTAAATTTACCCAAGATCAGCGTCTACGGGCAACTTCACCCTACTCCACATGACAACATCTGAGGCAACAGAGGTCAAAAGGTGAAATGTGTGCCTTGAAGGCTGATTGAAGCCGTTACATGTTGGCAGCAGCCCATATGAATATACACAGATCCATATAGAAATCTATATATGACAATAGCAGGAATATAAAGGCTTTGAACTAAATCACCATTCTGGTAAGAGCCTTGGTTTCCGTCGATGAGCTACTAGTTCTTAGAATATCCACATAGTTCTTCATCTTCTGTCATTCTGTTTATTTAGTACTTCCAGTACTGGGACAAAATAGTTAGAAATCTTACAACTTACATGAGCCTGCCTAGAGTGTCATGTGGGCTGGGTTTGCACTTTTGGGAATATTCCATTGGTTCCATCCAGGCAAGGCACCATACAAGCAATCTTATAAATACTATTTGAAGCCAGGTCAGGGCTTGTATTCACAAAGTGTCTCACAGTAGGAGTGCTGATCTAGGATCAGTTACCCCTGCTTATTCATTATGCTTTAGGAGATAAAACTGAACCTAGATCATGGGGGCATTCATTACGTCCTTTAACGGAAACCATTTACTGTTTAAGAACCAAACGGAAGCAAACAGAGCAAATGGAACGAAACAGGGAGGGACCTACCTGAATTCGTCCAATAGAAACGATAGTTTCCATTGCAAAACGTTTTCCGTTCGGAGTAAACAGTTTCTGTTCGCAAAACGTTTTGCAACAGATGAAATGTTTTGCAACAGAATCGCCATAATGAATACACTCCAGCACTCCTACTCTGAGATGCTTTATTGACCACGGGCCCTGATTCTATCTGTCAGTTCTTAATTAACATACTCCAGAAAACAGCGCTCTTTCACTCAGCTGCTGTGTGATCTTCTCCTCTGACTTCACTTCATCATTCTTCTGATTGACATCTGCAAACCTAACAGCCTTCTCCTGTCTGGCCAATGGGACTTTGCCATTCTCCTGCTCTACTTCCTGGTTGAGGTCTGTGGCCCCATCCTCTGTACCCTGGGGGAAGTCTTCTTGATATTCTGTCTCACACTCTCTCTCCTCCTCTTCTCTCTCCTCCTCTTCCGTGTTCCTCTTCTGTCCATCCATCCCTCTCTCCATCACTGGGGACGTGTTCTTTCTCTCCTCTTTCAGCATTTCTCCGGCAGAGTTTTTCTTCGCCTTGTTCAGACCCCTGAGGTTCAACTTCTGAAAGAGAGACATTTTAAAGATTTCTTTTTTTTTTCTTTCTTTAAACTCTCTCTCTCTCTTCAGACACCTGACAAAAACACTACAAAGTCTATCTCGGTGATGCCTCTCTCTTGGAAAGTTAACTGCAAATAATTGACCAAATCTCTGTTTGACTGTAATGTACTAAGAAATGGCTATTATTAGACCATAGAACTGTCCCTCTGAGCATTAACAGAACCAGAGTAGTTCTATCTCAGCTGGGTTATCTACCGCTATATTTAGAAGTATGACTTTTTAATGACACCAACTGTGACACAGCATTGTGTAGGTTACGAGAGAGAGAGCGAGAGAGAGAGAGAGAGAGAAAAGGGTAACCAGTGAAGAACAAACACCATTGTAAATACAACCCATATTTATGATGATTTATTTTCCCTTTTGTACTTAAATATTTGGAACTTTTGTGAGTGTAATGTTTACTGTTAATTTTTTATTGTTTATTTCACTTTTGTTTATTATCTATTTCACTTGCTTTGGCAATGTAAACATATGTTTCCCATGCCAATAAAGCCCTTTGAGTTGAATTGAGAGAGGAAGAGAGAGAGAGAGCGCGAGAGGGAGGGAGAGAGGGAGAGAGGGAGAGAGAGAGAGAGAGCGTGAGAGGGAGAGAGAGAGAGAGAGTGAGAGGGAGAGAGAGCGAGAGATGGAGAGAGAGGGAGTGGGAGAGCAAGAGAGAGCGAGAGAGAGAGCGAGAGAGAGAGCGAGAGGGAGAGAGAGCGAGAGAGCGAGAGAGGGAGAGGGAGAGAGGGAGAGAGGGAGAGAGGGAGAGAGAGGGAGAGAGAGAGAGTGAGAGAGGGAGAGAGGGAGAGAGGGAGAGAGAGAGAGGGAGTGGGAGAGCGAGAGAGAGAGAGAGAGAGAGGGAGTGGGAGAGCGAGAGGGAGTGGGAGAGCGAGAGGGAGAATTAGAGTAAAAAATATGGTGAGGAACCTTGAAGTCTTTCCTTTTGCGTTGCAGGGCAGGTCTCTGGAGGAAGAGGATCTGCTTTGTGGACAAGCTGCCATCACTGAGGAGAGAACAATGCTATTAATACTATGTGAATCACATCAGTACTTGCCACACATCTTGTAACTTGATATTAGAACTGTCTCTTTGTCTTATTCTGGGTCTTTTACTGGATCTTGTGATGTGACAAAATGTGAAAGGTAATTGTGTTCCAAATGATGTGCAGTGTTCCAATGTTTGGTATGGTTTACAGCAGGGATGGGCAACTTTGATAGGGGTTGGGGCAACCAAAAGTCGGTAACGCATCATGACGGGCCGCAGTTGTTCATTTTGTGCAATTCTACACATTTTGCCATGGGGTGTAGAGAATATTTAGTACTTTTATAACTCATTTCATGCAATTCTACTAATTTGCCATGGGGCAGAGAGGGAAATTAGCTGTTTTACAGCAAATTTCCTGCAATTCCACCCATTTTCCCATAGGGTGGAGGCAAATGTTTGCAGTTTCTAATATGATATCTGAGTGGGACTAACTAACAAAGTCAATGGAGGTCCCCCGGACTTAATTACGGCTACTGATTGCAGTCTGCCAGTTTGGCTTTATACATAGCTTGGGCTTTGTCGAGTAAGGCTTAAACTATGTATTTAGATTGTAGTTAGGTATTATAGGTAGGCATCGTGGGCTGTATATTATTAAGTAGTATAGGTAGGCATCGTGGGCTGTTGTGGGTAGTTGTTGTGTAGTTATTGTAGGTTACTTTTGTATTCGGCGGTGTCACGGTTTCGGCCGAGGCTGCCTCTCTCCCTTGTTCGGGCAGGCTTCGGCGTTCGTTGTCTCCGGAGTACTAGCTGCCACCGTTGTATGTTTCATGTTCGTTTGCTTTTGTCTGAGTGTTGTCACACCTGTTTTCATTTAGTGTCATTAGTGTCCTATTTAGTTCCCATTGTGTGTGTCAGGTGTTGTGTATTATTGATTGTGTCAGACGTGTTTTCGCTCGGTTGAGCTTCTCTCCACTGCGCTGGAGTTTACGCACCTGTTTGTGCGCTGTTTTGTTTGTATTTCGCCTTCGTGCGTATTTCGCCTTCGGGCAAGTGTTGTCCGTTTGCCGTGTTTCGACTCAATACAAATCTGTTGGATTATCCGTCTGCGTTCTGCATTTGATTCCGCCACTGCACCTACAGCACGCCTTGACAGGCGGTGCCGGGTGTAGCACGAAGCTAGCTAGCTAACTCACCTCCTGGATTAGCTGGCGAGTAGCTATTAGCAACGGTAGCAACTAAAAACAATATCCTTTTAGCCAGCTACATTCGTTCGCAGCGACGCCGTTTTTCAAACAAAGTCAACACAGCAGCCATTGCTAGCTAGCCAACACTACCAGCTGGCTGTACTGTAGTAGCTAAATACAATATCTTTGCGCTAGCTACCCAACGTTTAATCATTGCTGCGTTATGAAAGGTAAGCTTGGCTTCTTATATGGTGTTGAGTAAAGCTTAAACCATGTATTTAGATTGTAGGTAGGTATTGTAGTTTGGTATTATAGGTAGCTTACTCAGGTAGTTATTGTAGGTTATTGTAGGTAATTATTGTAGGTAAGTATTGTATTCGGCGGACCCCGGCGAAGCACGAGGCTAGCTTACCCACTACTTGGACCAACAAAGCTAGCTAGCTAGCTAGCGGGTAGCTACTGGTAACTTTTAGCAACTGTGGTTAGTTGTTTCCAATGTTATTTCATGCTTAAGAGTACCTGTGATTGAGCCAGCTAGCTGCCACCATTCAGCTGTTTTTCTAACCTCCTTATCCGAGGCATTAACGTTAGGTGGTTGGTAGCTGCTGTACTTAATTACAGCTACTGATAACAGTCTGCTGTAGTTTACAACAATTCTAATTTCTAAAGTGGAAGTTGGGAGAGTTTTATTCGGGTGGTTCAGTGAAACAATTATAGTTTCTGAGGTGGAAGTTGGGAGAGTTATATTTTTTTTGGTGAGGGAGGCCTGCTCTCTCCTTTCCCAGATGTTTAGTTCATTTCATTCCGATCTCCTCTGCATTATTGTAGCCATCTGCTGCAGCCTGTCAACTATGCCTCTGCCTATCCCTGTTCTCTCCTCTCCGCACAGGCTACACAAACGCCTCACACCGCGTGGCTGCTGCCTCTCTAACCTGGTGGTCCCTGCACGCACCACACACCTGGAGTTCCAGGTCTCAGGCAGCCTCTGGAACTGCCGTTCTGCCGCCAACAAGGCTGACTTCATCCCAGCCTATGCTACCCTCCAGTCCCTCGACTTCCTGGCGCTGACGGAAACATGGATTACCACTGAAAACACTGCTACTCCTACTGCTCTCTCCTCGTCTGACCATGTGTTCTCGCATACCCCGAGAGCATCTGGTCAGAGGGGTGGTGGCACAGGAATCCTCATCTCTCCCAAGTGGTCATTCTCAATTTTCCCCTAACCCATCTGTCCTATCTCCTCATTTGAATTCCACGCTGTCACAGTCACTAGCCCATTTAAGCTTAATATCCTTGTCATCTATCGCCCTCCAGGTTCCCTTGGAGAGTTCATCAATGAGCTTGACGCCTTGATAAGTTCCTTTCCTGAGGATGGCTCACCCTTCACAGTTTTGGGGGATTTCAACCTCCCTACGTCTACATTTGACTCATTTCTCTCTGCCTCCTTCTTTCCACTCCTCTCCTCTTTTGACCTCACCCTCCCCCCCTACTCACAAGGCAGGCAATACGCTTGACTTCATCTTTACTAGATGTTGCTCTTCTACTTCTTCTTAAAACTAAACTCCCTGCCGACCTGGCATCTTTTCACTCCCTCCTCTCTACATTTTCTTCATCTGTTTCTGCTGCTAAGGCCACTTTCTACCACTCTAAATTCCAAGCATCTGCCTCTAACCCTAGGAAGCTCTTTGCCACATTTCCCCTTCCTGGATTGCGTCCTACCTGACCGGTCGCTCCTACCAAGTGGCGTGGCGAGAAGCTGTCTCCGCACCACGTGCTCTCACCACTGGTGTCCCCCAGGGCTCAGTTCTAGGCCCTCTCCTTTTCTCCCTATACACCAAGTCACTTGGCTCTGTCATATCCTCACATGGCCTCTCCTATCATTGCTACGCTGACGATACACAACTAATCTTCTCCTTTCCCCCTTCTGATAACCAGGTGGCGAATCGCATCTCTGCATGTCTGGCCGACATATCAGTATGGATGACGGATCACCACCTCAAGCTGAACCCTGACAAGACGGAGCTGCTCTTCCTCCCGGGGAAGGACTGACTGTTCCATGATCTCGCCATCACGGTTGACAACTCCGTTGTGTCCTCCTCCCAGAGTGCGAAGAGCCTTGGTGTGACCCTGGACAACACCCTGTCGTTCTCCGCTAACATCAAGGCGGTGACCCGATCCTGCAGGTTCATGCTCTACAACATTCGGAGAGTACGACCCTGCCTTACACAGGAAGCGGCACAGGTCCTAATCCAGGCACTTGTCATCTCCCGTCTGGATTACTGCAACTCGCTGTTGGCTGGGCTCCCTGCCTGTGCCATTAAACCCCTACAACTCATCCAGAATGCCGCAGCCCGTCTGGTGTTCAACCTTCCCAAGTTCTCTCACGTCACCCCCCTCCTCCGCACACTCCACTGGCTTCCAGTTGAAGCTCGCATCCGTTACAAGACCATGGTGCTTGCCTATGGAGCAGTGAGGGGAACGGCACCTCCGTACCTTCAGGCTCTGATCAGTCCCTACACCCAAACGAGGGCATTGCGTTCATCCACCTCTGGCCTGCTGGCTCCCCTTCCTCTGCGGAAGCATAGTTCCCGCTCAGCCCAGTCAAAACTGTTCGCTGCTCTGGCACCCCAATGGTGGAACAAGCTCCCTCACGACGCCAGGACAGCGGAGTCACTCACCACCTTCCGGAGACATTTGAAACCCCACCTCTTTAAGGAACACCTGGGATAGGATAAAGTAATCCTTCTACCCCCCCCCCCCCCCCAAAAAAAAATATTAATAATTGTAAAGTGGTTATCCCACTGGCTATAGGGTGAATGCACCAATTTGTAAGTCGCTCTGGATAAGAGCGTCTGCTAAATGACGTAAATGTGCCCTTGAGCAAGGCACTTAACCCTAATTGCTCCTGTAAGTCGCTCTGGATAAGAGCGTCTGCTAAATGAGTAAAATGTAAATGTAAAATGTAATTCAACCAGGATAACAAGTTTAGATAGCTGGCCGCTAAAGTAACTTTCGCAATAAAAAATGTTAGCTGACATGGGCTAATTGACTGACTATCAGTGACTGACATAACAAGAGAAAAACAAGAGAAAAACTGCTGATGCACCACCAAATTTCGAACTTGCACCTATTCTACTATTCTAACTCGCAACACGAAGTTGAGACCCAGACTGAGTTCCTAAAATTAAAAAAATTAAAAATAAAATATATAAAATATTTATAATTCTTTGGGGGTTGGAAATTGATCCGAGGGCCTTCAAAAAGGGGGCGGACGCCAGTTGCCCATCCCTGGTTTACAGAAATACTGTAAGTATTAGCCAATACTAGGCTGGTATAGTGCCTACTACCTAGTGTTCCTTCCTGGTTTGGACAGTACCTGTTGGTCTTAACGATGGGAGTAGGCAGAACACACATCAGCCTCCAGCCATAGGGAGCCAGAGACTGGAGCAAGGGGATGTAGTCAGTCCTTACCACTACACCCTGGAGAGGACAAAAACAGTGTTACACACACGTCGACAATGGACACACACACACACACACACACACACACACACACACACACACACACACACACACACACACACTAACATCAACAATGGTCCACTGCTCCACCACAATGGCGTCGTATGAAATGGGTGGGGTTTCTTCTGAGGAGCTCTGAAAGATGAACACACTGTCCACGGAGGAGACCCCGCTGTCTGAAAGAGAGAGAGAGAGACAGAGAGTGAGACAGAGAGAGAGTGAGACAGAGAGAGAGCGAGAGAGAGAGACAGAGAGAGTGAGAGACAGCGACAAAGAGAGAGTGAAAGAGAGAGACAGGGAGAGAGACAGATAGAGAAAGAGAGAGTGAGACAGAGAGAGAGAGACAGAGAGACAGATGCAGAGACAGAGAGTGGGAGACAGAGAGAGAGAGTGAAAGACAGAGAGAAAGAGGGTGAGAGAGAGAAAGAGAGTGAGACAGAGAGACAGAGAGAGAGAGTGAAAGACAGAGACAGAGACAGGGAGAGAAAGAGAGAGACAGAGACAGAGAGAGAGTGAGAGACAGAGAGAGAGAGTGAAAGACAGAGAGACAGAAAGAGTGAGACAGAGAGAGACAGAGACAGAGAGAGAGTGAAAGACAGAGAGACAGAGACAGAGAGAGTGAGAGACAGACAGAGACAGAGACAGAGAGAGAGTGAGAGACAGAGAGACAGAGACAGGGAGAGACAGAGAGACAGAGACAGGGAGAGACAGACAGGGAGAGAAAGAGAGAGAGACGGAGACAGAGAGAGAAGCGCAACTTCTTCTGTTACAGTTGAATCTCCTCCACAGATTTGGAAGAGATAGAGAGTTGATCCGATCTTGGCTTTGCATGTCCTTCCATGCATCATGCGTGAAGGAACATGGATAAGGCTGAGCCTACACACTTTCCAAGTAGGCCTTTAACATTTCCCCCTAAGTTCAAAAAGTTTTCAGTATATTGCCATGGTAAACACTATAACCTGATGACGTGACAATTATCCTTGCAGGATGGAAACGTTGTTTGTTTGTGAATAAAGGTACGTGGTGAAGCTTATGAGTGTGCAGGCTCTATTTCTTTAAACACTACAACACTAGCCTTGTCCCAGATCAGTTTGTGCTCTTGCCAACTCCAGTGCTCATTGACAAGCCAAACAGTCTGGCCTCTCAGCAATCTTCAAATATGAACATGCTGCCATTAATGAGCTCGAGGAGAACAGAGTGTTTGGCACGCCAACGAGTGACAAGGAGTTGGCATGACAGCACAAACAGACTGACACTCAGGCTACTATAGCACATCACCATTGTGCCAAACATACCATTGTCGTCTCCAAGGTGAAAGAAACCGTCGATGAGGCGAGCTCCACTGGTGAAATGCTGGGTCATGTGATCTAGCCAGTGGGCATCGACCTCTGTCACTAACCCTGCCTCTCTCTGCAGCCCCAGCGGAACCCTGAGGGAGTAGAACCTCAGAGAGCTGGACAGCTCCCCCGTGTGGTTGTAGAGGGCAAACAGCTGCACCCCTACGCACGCACGCACACACACACACACACACACACACACACACACACACACACACACACACACACACACACACACACACACACACACACACACACACACACACACACACAGAAAGAGAGGCACAAATAATATGTTTTTTAATTTTGCCAGGAAATACACAAGACTGAAATGAATCAACATTGCAATATTCAGTATAAACTCCAACTCATGGCAATGCCACATCAGCCGCCTGTCAATAATGTAGTCGAAACAGTAATAGATTCCACACTCACTGCTCTGTGCTGGTGGAGACCCCACAGCCCTCTTATCTCTGTCTGGACTCTTGACCCGGATGTGATTGTTGTTGTTGTGGGTCGGGACTCTGCTGCTCCTCTGATGCTCATCCAGGTCACCGTCCGTACCCCCGTTTCCACGGTTGCACCCCCTCTCAGCCCCGGACTCCGACCCGCGGTCGGCGTTGTCTAGTTCTGGTGACCGGACCAGGTCGTCTGTGCTGTAGAACTGTTCCGGTATCCATCTCTGGTTCTGTGTCTGAGGGCTTGGACTCTTTATGTCTCCCTGGCGCTGTCTGTCTGCGTCTGGACCACCAAGTCCATGTGTTAACTCTGCCGGGCTGAAGTTTGGTAGTAGAGTCCTGATGAAGTCTGCTTGGCTTTCATTCTGTTGTCTCTCTATACATGTGGTCTCTATTGGGTTGCAGGACTGTAGTTGATCCTGGTCGCCACGGAGTTCAGTTGGGACGTGGTTGTGATTCTGTTGGTCACAGGCTGGATCTATTGGGCTGGGACTCTGCAGTCTCTCTGGTGGTTCTGCTGGTTCTATTGGACAGTGGTTTGGTTGGTCCTCTATTGAGGGTATTCTGACTGGACTGTGGATGTGTTCTCTGTCTGTTGACTCAACTGAAGTAGAGACCTGTGTGTTTTCTACCAGTTCTGTTGAGCTCAAGTCCAGCTCCACCTGACTGGTATCTGTAGGGTTCTGTTCAATTGTTCTGAGTTCTACCGACTTGTATTCTGGTGTTTTCAGTTCTGTGTTCCGGTCGTGTTCTGGTTCTAGGAGGTTCTGGTGGGGTTCTGTAGAGTCTGTAGGGCTGAGTTCTGTTATAGTGGGTTCTGAGCAGCGGGCTGTGGTACTGGCAGGGTGTCTGTGTATGGGGGAGGGGCTGGAGTGCAGGGAGGACAGGTCTTCAGGGTCCATGTGCCCCAGGAAACAGGGTCCCCCACCAGGCTGCTGCAGGAAGCCCACAAACAGCACACCCTGCTCCGCCGCATCCTGGATCTGGACACACACACACACACACACACACACAGTAGGCAGGTTTCCATTGACCAGGTTTATTAGACAAAAGCAATGTCGCAGAAGAAATCATTGCAACGTGTGTAAGGGAAACTATGGATATAGGACAGTTCGACGGGTGGATTTTAATTTGGTCTATATATTTATGTAAACAAATAATGATCCATACAAGCCATTCAGCTTCATGCAGCGATCTGTCGTGAGGCACGTCAACACACAGGATTGATGGGCGGCTACAGAAATAGAAACGGCCCGTGCTATATCTATAATTATAAACTAGGTGGTTTGAACCCTGAATGCTGATTTTCTTAAAGCCGTGGTATATCAGACCGTATACCATGGGTATGACAAAACAATTACTTTTTACTGTTCTAATTACGTTGGTAACAAAGTTTATAATAGCAATTAGGCACCTCAGGGGTTTGTGGTATATGGCCAATATACCACGGCTAAGGGCTGTGTCCAGGCACTCTGGGCTGTGTCCAGGCACGACTTTGTGTCGTGCGTAAGAACAACCCTTAGCTGTGGTACATTGGTCATATACCACACCTCCTCTGGCCTTATTGCTTAATTCTATGTATTATAATAGTAGGTTCTCCTATGAGCTACAAATCTGGCCAGTGGGGCCTTTGGCTGCCATTGTCAGTCAGCTCTGGTGTACTGTTCTGTGGATGACATGCTTGGTATATTGATTCACACACACAGCCTCATTTATACACTCACCAACACAAAGGCAAATTTACACACTACAGACATTCTGCAAAACATTATTCAAATTAACAGCCAACCTAATCATCCCTAAAGATCAAATATTCTAATGACAAAGGAACCTAATTATCCACTGTGTGTGTCTGTTTGTCATTAGTGTGTGTGTGTCTGTTTGTCATTAGTGTGTGTGTGTGTGTGTGTCTGTTTGTCATTAGTGTGTGTGTGTCTGTTTGTCATTAGTGTGTGTGTGTGTCTGTCTTTCTCCTCTTCCTCACAGAGCTCCTCTGGTTAATTGTCAGTTGATATTAACCCTGACAGTTTGAGAGGGGCTTGTCAGAGAGAACACAGAATGCTAACTACCACACAACAATAATGAGACCTCTTTCCTCATTATCATCCCTCCACCAATCACAATCAACACAATGACAATCAACACACATACACACATCCTGTGGGGAGAGACACTGAACAGATACTGTCCACCACTTGAGTCTGTCAAGATTGGGGTGAAAATACAAAATGTATACGTGTGTGTGTGTCACACACTCCCACCAAAAGGTTATTATACCTCCTTGACATTTACTTATTCATATTTAGCGTGTACGTGTGTCACAGGGAAGCAGTGCCCACCTCTGCAGTGTGATAAGACCGGTCTCCCTGTCCCGCACTCTCCTATTGGCTCCTGTCTATGGTTCTTTTCAGCTATTTCCTGGCAGCCAGGCTGCTATCTGATTGCTTATTCATGTCATGCTGCCTGACCATATCACATTATACTGAGCCCTGTGCATTTCAATCCAATCACCACTCCCTTTTGTGCTCTGCCTGTTCACATGGAAATCTCCTCAATAAAGGCCTGTTCACTTCTCATGGTCGCTGTAGAATGAGATGAATTCACTACTATACTGTAATACTAAGGTGTTTGTGGTTGTTAAATGATGATGTCACAGCTGATCGTGACTTTAGGGGGGCATCTCAATAGTCTAAAGTGGCCTCCTCTCCTCTCCTCTCCTCTCCTCTCCTCTCCTCTCCTCTCCTCTCCTCTCCTCTCCTCTCCTCTCCTCTCCATTGACCTAAAGAATGATACAGGTGTACATAACCAGTAGGGGAAGGAGAAGAGTAAGCAGCATCCAAGGGAAGTAGGATAAGCTTTCCCCTAGTCTCTTTCCTGTCAAATATTAAGGTTAACATTTGGGGAGGAATTCTGGAGTGTAATGTCCCTTTAAGCTCAAATTTGGGAGGAATTTGTTGATCCTAGATCTGTGCCTATGGGCAACTCCTCCCAGAGTGGAGCTGAGTGGGAGTAGTAAGCTGATCCTAGATCTGTGCATTAGTACTAATGGTGACCTTCTTCACGTAGTTCTGGATGACATCCGGGTCGGGGGCCTGTTGACCCGCCACACACACGTCTGTCTCCAGGCGACGGCCCGCCCACTTCAGCTGGGTCTTCTCTGAACTGGAGAGAGAGAGATGAAAGAGGGATGAAGGAAGACATCAGCGGGCATTTAAGTTGCGAACCAAATGGCACCCTATTCCCTATATAGTGCACTACTTTTGGCCAGGGCTCATAGTGGTCCATAGGGCTATGTTCAAAAGTAGTGCACTATGTAGGGAAGAAAGGACTGATGAAGGAGTGAATAAAACTATGGATCATCATGTTTGTATGCTGGAGCCTAGTCATCTGTTGTGCTTCAGGGCAATTCTAACATGTTCAGACAGCATCTATAACACATCTATACCATGATCAGACAGCATTTATAACACATCTATACCATGTTCAGACAGCATCTATAACATTTACATTTTAGTCATTTAGCAGACGCTCTTAACCAGAGCGACTTACAGGAGCAATTAGGGTTAAGTGCCTTGCTCAAGGGCACATTAACGTCATTTAGCAGACGCTCTTAGCCAGAGCGACTCACAAATTGGTGCGTTCACCCTATAGCCAGTGGGATAACCACTTTACAATTTGGGGGGGGGGGGGGGGGGGGGGGGGGGGGGGGGGGGGTTAGAAGGAATACTTTAGCCTATCCCAGGTATTCCTTAAAGAGGTGGGGTTTCAAATGTCTCCGGAAGGTGGTGAGTGACTCCGCTGTCCTGGCGTCGTGAGGGAGCTTGTTCCACCATTGGGGTGCCAGAGCAGCGAACAGTTTTGACTGGGCTGAGGGGGAGCTGTGCTTCCGCAGAGGAAGGGGAGCCAGCAGGCCAGAGGTGGATGAACGCAATGTCCTCGTTTGGGTGTAGGGACTATACACATCTATACCATGATCAGACAGCATTTATAACACATCTATACCATGATCAGACAGCATCTATAACACATCTATACCATGATCAGACAGCATTAATAACATCTTCAGACAGCATCTATAACACATCTATACCATGTTCAGACAGCATCTATAACACATCTATACCATGTTCAGACAGCATTAATAACATCTTCAGACAGCATCTATAACACATCTATACCATGTTCAGACAGCATCTATAACATCTTCAGACAGCATCTATAACACATCTATACCATGTTCAGACAGCATCTATAACACATCTATACATTTACATTTACATTTTTAGTCATTTAGCAGACGCTCTTATCCAGAGCGACTTACAGTTAGTGATTACATATTTATTTATTTTTTATACTGGCCCCCCGTGGGAATCTAACCCACAACCCTGGCGTTGCAAACGCCATGCTCTATCAACTGAGCTACATCCCTGCCGGCCATTCCCTCCCCTACCCTAGACGACGCTGGGCCAATTGTGCGCCGCCCATGAGTCTCCCGGTCGCGGCCGGCTGCGACAGAGCCTGGATTCGAACCAGGATCTCTAGTGGCACAGTTAGCACTGCGATGCAGTGCCTTAGACCACTGCGCCACTCAGGAGTGGTTATAGATGCTGTTCAGACAGCATCTATAACACATCTATACCATGTTCAGACAGCATCTATAACACATCTATACCATGATCAGACAGCATCTATAACACATCTATACCATGTTCAGACAGCATTTATAACACATCTATACCATGTTCAGACAGCATCTATAACACATCTATACCATGTTCAGACAGCATCTATAAAACATTTATACCATGTTCAGACAGCATTTATAACACATCTATACCATGTTCAGACAGCATCTATAACACATCTATACCATGTTCAGACAGCATCTATAACACATCTATACCATGTTCAGACAGCATTTATAACACATCTATACCATGTTCAGACAGCATCTATAACACATCTATACCATGTTCAGACAGCATCTATAAAACATTTATACCATGTTCAGACAGCATTTATAACACATCTATGCCATGTTCAGACAGCATCTATAACACATCTATACCATGTTCAGACAGCATCTATAACACATCTATACCATGTTCAGACAGCATCTATAACACATCTATACCATGTTCAGACAGCATTTATAACACATCTATACCATGTTCAGACAGCATCTATAACACATCTATACCATGTTCAGACAGCATCTATAAAACATTTATACCATGTTCAGACAGCATTTATAACACATCTATACCATGTTCAGACAGCATCTATAACACATCTATACCATCTTCAGACAGCATCTATAACACATCTATACCATTATCAGACAGCATCTATAACACATCTATACCATGTTCAGACAGCATCTATAACACATCTATACCATGTTCAGACAGCATCTATAACACATCTATACCATGTTCAGACAGCATCTATAACAATTTCAGACAGCATCTATAACACATCTATACCATGTTCAGACAGCATTTAGAACACATCTATACCATGTTCAGACAGCATCTATAACAATTTCAGACAGCATCTATAACACATCTATACCATGTTCAGACAGCATTTATAACACATCTATATCATGATCAGACAGCATCTATAACAATTTCAGACAGCATCTATAACACATCTATACCATGTTCAGACAGCATTTAGAACACATCTATACCATGTTCAGACAGCATCTATAACAATTTCAGACAGCATCTATAACACATCTATACCATGTTCAGACAGCATCTATAACACATCTATACCATGTTCAGACAGCATCTATAACACATCTATACCATGTTCAGACAGCATCTATAACACATCTATACCATGTTCAGACAGCATTTATAACACATCTATACCATGTTCAGACAGCATCTATAACATCTTCAGACAGCATCTATAACACATCTATACAATGTTCAGACAGCATCTATAACATCTTCAGACAGCATCTATAACACATCTATACCATTGTTCAGACAGCATCTATAACATCTTCAGACAGCATCTATAACATCTTCAGACAGCATCTATAACATCTTCAGACAGCATCTATAACACATCTATAACATCTTCAGACAGCATCTATAACATCTTCAGACAGCATCTATAACACATCTATAACATCTTCAGACAGCATCTATAACACATCTATAGCATCTTCAGACATCTATAACATCTTCAGACAGCATCTATAACATGTTTAGACATGTTAAACCAGTCAAAGGTTTTTGATGACAGCCTCCTGGGTGATAGGAGAGGAGGAGGAAAGGAGAGGAGGAGAGAGGAGAGAGATGAAGAGAGAGGAGAGAGGAGAGAGATGGAGAGAGGAGAGCGATGGAGAGAGAGGAGAGAGATGGAGAGAGAGGAGAGAGATGGAGAGAGAGGAGAGAGGAGAGAGATGGAGAGAGGAGAGCGATGGAGAGAGAGGAGAGAGATGGAGAGGAGAGGAGAGAGATGGAGAGAGAGGTGAGCGATGGAGAGAGGTGAGCGATGGAGAGAGGTGAGCAATGGAGAGGAGAGAGATGGAGAGAGGAGAGAGATGGAGAGAGGAGAGTGATTGAGAGAGGAGAGAGATAAAGAGGAGAGAGATGAAGAGAGGAGAGAGATGAAAGAGGAGAGATGGGGAGAGGAGAGAGATGGAGAGAGGAGAGCGATGGAGAGAGGAGAGAGATGGTGAGAGAGGAGAGCGATGGAGAGAGGTGGGAGATGGAGAGAGGTGGGAGATGGAGAGAGGTGGGAGATGGAGAGAGGTGGGAGATGGAGAGAGGAGAGAGATGGAGAGAGGTGAGGAGATGGAGAGGGTGGAGGAGGGAGAGCGTGGGAGAAGGAGAGAGGAGAGAGATGGAGAGAGGTGGGGAGATGGGAGAGAGGTGGGAGATAGAGAGATGGAGAGACGGTGGGAGATGAGAGAGGTGGGAGATGAGAGAGGTGGGAGATGGAGAGAGGGGAGATGGAGGAGGTGGGAGACTGGAGAGAGGAGGAGAGATGGAGAGAGGAGGAGAGATGGAGAGGAGAGGAGAGAGATGGAGAGAGGTGGAGATGGGGGATGGAGAGGGAGAGATGGAAGAGAGGTGGGAGATGGAGAGAGGAGAGAGATGGAGAGAGGAGAGAGATGGAGAGAGGAGAGAGATGGAGAGAGGGGGAGATGGAGAGAGGTGGGAGATGGAGAGAGGAGAGAGATGGAGAGAGGTGGGAGATGGAGAGAGGAGAGAGATGGAGAGAGGAGAGAGATGGAGAGAGGTGGGAGATGGCGAGAGGTGGGAGATTGAGAGAGGTGGGAGATGGAGAGAGATGGAGAGAGAGAGAGGTGGGAGATGGAGAGCGGAGAGAGATGGAGAGAGGAGGGAGATGGAGAGAGGAGAGAGATGGAGAGAGGAGAGAGATGGAGAGAGGTGGGAGATGGAGAGAGGAGAGTAATAAAGTGATGGAGAGATGAAAGGAGGAGAGGAGAGGAGGCCTCATGGTTCCCCTCTCTTTGCACATTGTTCCCCTCCGGTGGGTGCTGATGATACAATCAGCCGTCTCCACGGTGACAGGTGCCACTTGGCAGGAGGGGCATAAAGGAGCAGCCAAGCACCCAACTGTGTGTGTGTGTGTGTGTGTGTGTGTGTGTGTGTGTGTATGTGTATGTGTGTGTGTGTGTGTGTGGGAGTGTGAAAGAAAAAGATGATGTATACATTTCCCCATCTACACATTCCACGGTTGAGAATAGATCACTCCCGAAAATCCCGGGAAGAGAATAGGATTTTGCTTCCATTTCACAGATTCTGTGGGTGGG